GGTCATATTTATTACATAGCATCTATGAAAGTACTCATAATTTTATAAATTATGAAAAATTAGTAAATAAATGCATACTATTAATTTGAGTAAATGCCAAAATGTCAAACAAGGAAGATTATGGAGGCTGACAATACATACAAGAACCAAAAGACATCAAAATTTGCCTAAAAAGTAGAGTATACAAATAAACTGATGCTTATTCATTTAAAAGCTACTGAAGATACTCATCTAAGGACTAATGTTCCAGCTATACTTTCGATCCAAGTTGGATGATTCAAAGTACATACCTCTTAGATTTTTAAGTGCTACATATATCATGATTTATTACTTAATCATGTCAGGGTGTCTTGCCCAGTTGCTCTAGAATATGATTTCAGATAAGGTAACATAAAAATTTAACAGAAATCAAAAGTTGATCATGGGTTTTAGGGGAGATATCTTTATTAAGATATATCTGCATAATAGAGAAATACAATGTATACAGCAAAAATAATCTAAAAGCACATTTTAAAAAATTTAAGAGGGCAGAAATGGAATTTATCTTCATATTCTAAATCTCTGTAAGGGATCTCCATATAGAACTACACAACAGTTCTATATTTGAAGGGTTTAATGGTAATTAGGGTGAGCTTACTCTGTGTGTTTTTGTGTGTGTGATAGCAAGTGAAGAGAGAAGAGCTAAAAAAGGAATAATATAGAGTAAAGATGTAAAGGTAGAAGATCAGGGATCAACTCTTCTAAACACATGAGTGTATGCAGAACGATCTGAAACCATTCACTCCAAGAAGAGTAGCTCTTCTTTACTCAAGCTCTAAAATGAAGATAATTTTACACAACCTCTATTACAGTGATCCCTTTGTCAATGTCCTGCCAAAAACCTAACTACTTACAGAAGGTCTAGACAAACTTTTCCTGTAAATGGTCAGATAGTAATTATTTTAGGATTTCTACACCATAAGTTTTTTTGCTGCAACTGATCAACTATGCAACCACTGACTAGGTATAAACACAAGAGTGTAGCTGTGTTTCAAAAAAACTTTACTCTGGACATTGAAATTTGAATTTCATATAATTTTCACATGTCATAAAATGATGCAGTTGACTCCAACTCCCTTCCCAAATGCAAAAATCATTCCCAGTATGAGGGCCCACACAAGAGAAACAGAATCTGGCTTAAGGGCAGTAGTTTGCTGACCCTTGAGTTATAGCATTAATGATGAATGTAAAAGTGCAAAAAGCCCCCAAAAACATTTCATCAAAAATTTTGAGTTAGTTCAGAACTAACTAAAGGTTGGAATAAAATATTGATCTTAAAAGATTTATAAAAATCACAACTATCTAATTCATTTTTATATTAGCCCTGTTTTATACTATTTTCAAAAAATTTTCTTCTAGGTTATTTCAAAGCTCAGGAAACTGTTAAATATTTAAAACTCATTCTTCAAAATACATTATTTTCTCATTTGATTCAAATATTTTTCTTGATGTTTTAAATATAGTCTCATTTTAAGGTTGGACATGTTACCTCTTCAATAATACCACGCTTTTATTTGAGCATAGCAATCACTTAAAGATCATTATCATATTGCTTCTCCTTCATCAACTTTCTTTTCAGTTCACTTATAAGCCAACAGTCTGTCTTCATACATCACCTTCCCTTTTACTATTTGCCAAAATTAAAAAAATTAACATATTTGGTTAGTCAAAACCAATCTGTAGCTGAATGGAAGCTTACAGTCATATCACATAGACTGAGTGAAAATAAAATGGTACTGATTTTGAGGTGATTTTACTCCTCTCCTTTCTTTTGTTTCTACTTGTCTTTATTTCATGAACATTTATCTGCTCTTATTTTCTGAAAATTTTAACATTCAGGCTTTCTAGGACTCCATTGCTCTTTCACCAATTAACATCAATTTTATAAATTTATCTTGAATTACAGTATCTAAACAAATGATTAGTTTGCATTATGTCATCCTATGTTTTCCAATTCTTATATTGCTTGCACTTTTCTTCAATTTTGTGTACTTTTAATATACATTACACAAGCTTCATGTATTTGAATAAAAAGACAATTTTTTCCTTTATGTAGTTTCATTCTTCAGTCAACACATTATCAACCTAAGTATTTGTAGGTTTTTAATGTCATTAAATTAAGCAAACTCTACTTAGGCAAAAGATGGTAATTTTATCAGATATTTCAGCTTTGTGCATGTACAGAAAAAGGTGATTTAGTCTTCATTTAGAATTTAGGAATCTAATATTTCCCAAGTCAGTGTAAGATAAATAAGTATGTTTTCATGAGAAGTAAAATTAAATATTATAAAAATTACATTATAACAGAATATATTCTACTTCATATCACTGAGTATCTATAATAAAACAGGACATAGGGGTCTTTCCTCTCTAAGAAATAATGTATCATATAGATGACAACTATTAATGATTTAATTAAATCCTTATCCTGAGCTTCTGAATGATGTTTCACCTCCAACTATTACATAAAATCTTTAACTGGCAATATAGCTCTGAATCTTTCACCTTATTGAAATATTTAGCAATGCTCCAATGACTTAAAAGGTCCCCATGTATTTGCTCTTGTATGTAGACATCTGTAACAAATTTTCACAAAATGAAACAGTTACCATATACCAATTTACCTCATCTTAGAAATAAAATGTTTGTACAGACTGTGGTACTGAGAATAACTTTATTTTGCTTCTCAGGGACAATTTTTAATATATAAGATATATTTTAAGGCATTCTGAGGAAATGGAAATGAAAGGGGAAGGAGAAAAACTGAATATTCAGCTAAGCATTTGATTTGCTTCTTTTCTTAGCTGAATTCTTTAAAGAAGAAAACTATTTGCCTTTTAATAGTATTTTCTCCCCATCCTTTTCTAGTAAATGGGAATATTAGATTGATATATCTCATATTCAATCTTTTTTTTAGAAAAAAAGGTAATCAGGAAAAAATGTTACCCAGTAAAATGAAACAAAAGATGAAGATGTCGAGATTAGTCACTATGTACTTTATCATGCAGTAAAGTGTTGGAAAAAAGAAACTGAAGAATGATATGAGATAACCCAATTTTTGAAGCACAGAACTTTTAATTTAACCCCAATCTAATACTAAACTCCATACTATAAAGGCCTTAGTAAATGTCAACACTTAGTCTTGGTTTGATTGAAAGAAAAATAGTATCACATCTGTTATTGTTTAGGGAAGTGTGTGACACGAAACACGTATATTAATGCTACTGCACTCTTTTTAGGGGTTTCCAGAATAATATCCAGACAGGTTTAGATTGATTTAATCATAACATTCCTACATGTTACAAGAAACAGTGGAATAGATCCTGGGGGCGATTATGGATGATCTTTCAAGTTTATAAGAATATGCATAGCAAAGGATTAACTCAAAAAAATACTTCAGAGACTTCTCAGCTTTACAATCTTATGTTTTTTAGCATCTTTAAAATCAAAATGTATTTGTATTTTTTTCCCTTTATCAGACTATAATTGGAAGGTTATGGTTAGAATGGTAAATTAGAATGATAAACTCATTCCTAATAATGTTTACCTTATCCACAATAGTAACAGTGCCTTAATATAATGGAGAGGGGGCTGAAAAATAATTTTTTTTTTTAAGGATCAGTAGTTCTTTTGGAAATGTCTAACACAGTGATAGTCTAGTTAGGAGATTTTTTTTAGATTTCTTATAAGCAATTATCAGTATACATTAAAGTTTTGCTCTAAAAAACAGGTAGAAAAAATGAGACATGTATTAATTTTGTTCTCTGTTTATATATTGTAATTTAATGATTAATAATAATAAAATGACTTTGGATTTTATTAATCAGAAATTTAATATAGATATATACATAACTATGCATGGTATATAATTAAAAATAAGCTGAAAAACTAGAGAATTACCCTGTCTATTTTTTTATTCCATCCTTTATAGCTGAGCTATTATAGCAATATGAATAAAATGTATGGCAAGAATCATAGGAGAAAGTAAATCATGACTAGGAATCACAGGAACTTTTTAAGGAAAGCTCCAGGAATGGGCTATCAGGATTAAATAGAACCAGAAACTATTTACTGCTATAATTAAGCTTTTCTTCTGCTATACTTAGACCATTAAAATTTTAGAAATTTTGCTTACACTTATTTTAAAGATATTCAGGAGAAAGATCACACAATCTGGTCATAAAAATATAATTGTTAATATTACCTGTATGCTGTATATATATATATATATATATATATATATATATATATATACAGTACTAAGAGGCTAAAAGGCATTGTTCTTCAAAGTGTTGTCTTGGGTAGACAAAACAAACAATTATAACTCAAGGTTCTCAAGTATTTGTAAGACATTACAGAATGGTGTTCCTGGTAAAGATGCTTACTGTCTAATTTATTTTAAAACAAAAGGCATCTCAGAGTTATTTCCAAAGAATCTTAGTTAACAGAAATTTATTAACTCAGAAAATATGTCTACCTACCAGGTTATCTATGATGACACTGTAACTGATCATTTTCCTTGACAACTGATATTGAATCATCAAGGCTCTATCACTTGAATTCAGGCCATAATTTATAATCCTACTGAGACATACAACAGGGGCAGAAGACATGGTCAGTGGAAAAGCTCCAAATGAAATTTCATGAAAAGAGCCTCAGAAAATTATACAATTGTGTAAGAAATACTAATATTGAAAAGAAAGAGTTTGTGTATGTGTGCATTGGAGCCAAAACATCATTAAATCAACAGTAATGTTAGTGTGACTTGATGGTCTTCTACCCTGCCAATTTAAATGTTATTTTGTAAACGTGAGCATGAAGCTGCAGCTAAAAAAGAGAGAAAGAGATAGGGAGAAAGAGACAGAAAGTAAAAAAGATGAGATGAGAGGACAAACCAATTAGATTTGGTGTTACCAGTCAGCAGAAGTTTAAGAAAAAAAAATCACAAAGTGAAATCGTACATTTACTCTGAGAGAGTATCCTTTCACATTGCCTTCTAGGTGATCTCTGAGCTCCTCCAGCTTTCGATGGAGCTACATGTAAACATCAGAAAATGAATTGAAAAAGCAACTTGTTCTCTTTTCAGTTTTCCTTTTTCCTTTTAAAGATAAGATCATAGTGTTATACATTTCTCACTGCCTTTGGCAAACATTTCAAAACATCAAAGATTTTTGTAGAAAACAAGAATACAAACTCAATAAAACTATGACTAGAAAGCCAACATTTAAATTATAGAATCTTTCCCCCCACAAAGTATTAAAGAAAACAAATACTATAACTATCCTTATTATCTCCTAGAGATTTTCATTAAAATTTTCTATTTGGTAGAAATATGTAGTAAATATTTAAAAATTATGAAACTTGTCTTTCCCAAATAGACCTTTTGATTTAAGACTGCATCCATTTAAACTGATTGAACCCTAAAAGGTATGTTTTATTGTTATACAAATATGCATGTATATACAGTCATATTGTATATACACTTAAAAACACAATACACAATTATAACTTGAAGTTCTATACATCCAAAGCTGAACTTAGAGATAATTAACACACACACTCGCACACACAATCCAGTTTATGGCATATGGTGCTGCAGTTATGGATGCCATTTTGTCTTTATTTCACTAGAAGTAGTTTCCAAAAAGCTATGCTGTGCTATATACCTTTTCACTGAATGTGAGTCATAAGCCATAATCTAAACAACAGTGAATTTATCATCTCTTAAAAACAAAAATATAGTGATACCTCACAGGTAGACAGTGAGGAATGCTGCTAATACATCATTAGGATACATAAACTCATATTTTTCTGAGTAATTTTACCTTTCCGTGTTTTTGATATAGGCATATAATCAACACTTTCCATCCCCTATTATTGTCCTTAATGAAATAACATTTTAAGAAAATTGCTACCCCATATACAGCAGTGTTAGAGAACAGAGAAGATGGCTGGTCTGGAATAAAGGACACAAACACACATATACACCTTCATCCATGTGCACATTCATGTGTGTGCACACAAACAAATAAACAACAACAAAAATGTAAAACTAAGAAGGCAGAAGAGGCAAGGAGAGGAAAGAGTGAAGAAACTAGTGCTTCATAGACTGTTAAGTGGAACAAATTGGAAGTGTGTAAAATATTGAAATGACAATATTAGGCCCTAAGTTAGTTATTGAATTTTGGGATTTCCCAGTGCAATAAATTATCTGGCATTTGATTAAGTTACTATTGCAGTAAGGACAATTAGGATTAAGATAAAAGAAGTGGTTAATTTGGAGGGTGGTTCCTCTGCATAATTTTAGAATTCAGAAAATTTTCTAACTTGCATTTATGGTGGCAGCATTAAAAGTGATCAATGGCTTAGTCTGTTTCTTAAGGATGGTAATGTGTTTACCTTTTCATTGTGATTACATGTTAACGTACTGCCCAAGATGTACTGATTAAATGGATATTTAACAACTAGCAAATGGAACCATCAGATTGGAAATCTCCAGTTGTATACTGGCAGATCGTAGACACAAGTGGGCAAACATTTAAAAATATATTGGTTTCTTTTGATTATTATATCAATTTTTTAACTTAAAAAAAAAGCAAAGGTGATTAAGAGTGCGTAAATACAATTAGGAGTCCATTCTACTAGCAACATATAAAATCCTTTTCTTTCTAATTCATAAGATTATACATATATATAAAATACAAGTTATTAATTCATAACTACTTTTTGAAATGAACTACATATGGTAATGACACTAAATTAATATGTAATTTACTTTTTACCAAAAAGCCAAAAAGGGAGATAACCTGAAAATAAATATTAGTTCTCTGTGAAACAGGAACTTAGAACACAGTTAGTGACATCAATCAGAGGAACGGTATACTCTAAAACCCCAAATTATAGGCACCTGTAATAAGGCAGTTGCACTTTTTCTTGTTTTTCGGTGCCATTCAAAACTAGTTATTTGGCAGCTTGCCTTCAGCTGGTTGCTCTATGTGTAGCTTAAACAAACAAACAAACAAAAAAATATGACCCGACAGCCAAAAAAATATTAAAATAAAAAAAAATGTGATGGTGAAAATGGAAAAAGCCCCCTTCCTCCCACCACCCTCCAAAAAAGGAAGAAGTGTAGGCTATAGACGAAATTTTGCCAAAAAAATGTTAGAAACATATTTACTTTGAGGGATCCAACTCTACTAGCAACTCCTTTGCTTTCATCCGGCCGTCTAATTTGCTACAATGAGGGAAGATGGGTAAAAAAGACAGAATAAAGAAAAAGTGAACTTAAAAATTTTTCTATACATTAGTAAGTAACACATGCAAAAACATCAATTGACTCTTTGAGGTACCTCTTAGGAGGCCAAGGAATTAACTAACCCAGAGGCTAAAGACAGGCTCTGTATATAGGCTGGTCACTAGAATCCCGTCCTTGTTATGGCACTGTTCCTGAGATGAGGAAATGGGCACTTACTTTTAGTTATCTTGGGGACTTCTGATGAAGCAGTATCTGAAGTAGTGTTACATTTGCATTTGGTTTATGAAGAACAAAGAATTACAAATATACCTGAGCACAGAACTTTGTCTCTTCAGGGTTTCCTGTCTATCTCATTGTAATATCAGAAAACAACACTAGTATGACTAAAAACATGAGTGTAGTGGAAAGATCAGTCCTGACAAGCATCATTCTTGAAAGGTGACAGAGTGAAGCTCCTCTGCTTGTTGACCAAAGCACTGAGGTTATTCATCTGTCACTGTGATTCCCAATTAAACAATTGTGCTGCCCAACCAGAAAATTTTAATGCCACACCAAAGTTAGATACAGTCACTCCCTCAAAGCTTTCTGTTATTTCAGCTGAATTATCCTCATGGGTAAAATAAGGGAAATGAAAATTAAAACTGCTATTTAAGAAACTTGTTTTATATCACTTTATAGAAAAGAAAGACCACCATCATTATTATTAGATGGGGCAAAAACTAAAATTCTTTTGCTTTTTCAGGGCGCTATAACAAAAACTAGTATTTTGATTAAAGAGGAAGGCAAATAAAAAAGGTGGGGTGGGTGGGTGGGTGGGTTTCAGATGAAGAACTTCTGTGCTGTGGATTCCTACACTGGCAGAATGATGGTTCCCATTCAGATGCAAGATAGCTGTGATTCTCCTTTTTGTTTTATTATTGTTGTTGACAGTAAGGAAGAATCGATGTAAAGCCCAGTACCCAGTGTTAAAATCCTGAGGAAAAATGAGACTTAATTATGCTATAAAACTATATTTCCTGAGAGCAGGCTATAGATTGTCTTATCCCTTTTAGGACATCTTTGATAACATGTGGAGATTGCTTAGGAATAATAACTGAGAAAACTGAATTTTTGTTATGGAAAAATGCCTCTTGGCACATAAAAATCAAACTTTTTGTTTTATTTAATGTAGTATTTACTAATTCTTCACCATTAACTAATGTTATACCCAAAAGATAATCACCAATTGATAATCACCAATTCTCATTCTAAGTTAAACAGAATTCTTAAATTTAGAAACAGCTATTAATCAGAATGACAACACTTTATAAGGGAGGGCCTTGGTATGCACAGTGAATTAATAATACCTTGTTATTCTCTTGTGCTATTTTCTTTTATCTCAGAGAACTTTTTTTTTTTAAAGATTTATTTATTTATGTATACAAGCACTGGGTACAGTCAGAAGCACTGGAGGGTGAGAGAATTCACCAGAGCCAGAGCAGGGAGCAGAGTAGGCAGACTGAGGAAGTACACTGCTGAGGGGAGCAGCAGGCACGGCAGGAGAGCCATGTGGGACCCTCACCCAGCAGCCCTGGATCAAACCAGTGCTGCAGAGCCTGCGGGCAGCTTCGCAGTCCAGTGCTCAACCGCTGCACCACCGGGGAGGCCCTCAGAGAACATCTTTATATCAAAAGGTGTTTCCCATTTTAAATGGAGACTAACAATATTTTGATTATAAAGATAGACTAGGTAGTTTCCTACAACAAGCAGAGTCTAATGCCTTGTGTTGCTTTCTGAAAACTTTTAGAAACATGGATACTTTTAGAATTGTTATTTAGTAACAAGTGAACACCATTTTCTACTTTTTTTTTTTTAAATTTCTAGAATCCTTCAAATTAGATCAAATCTAGCAACATGAGGTAGCTTCTTCATGGTTACAAAGGAAGTTGATGAGTCCTGGACAACACACACAGTTTCTGATTTCTAGTTTAAAGTTGTATTCCCTAAAAATGCTTTGTGATGCATATAAAAAAATAAAATAGCTTTCATTTAATAGACTGGAAATAAAGGGATTGGAAAAATTGATGCTTCCAACAGATGCATATATGTCCACCTATCTATCTGTAGGTCTATATCTCAAACTTTGGAAGGAATTCATGCTATTATTTTTATTAATGGAAGAAATTTTCCTAAACCATTTTAGTTCTAAATGTAAGTACAAGTACAGAAACTTAAACAGTGAGTTATGAGAAGATAAAAGATAATCACTGAAGTAAGTATGTGAAAAATTGATTATAATACATTTTAAGAAAGTATTTTGGGGAGCAGACAACTCCTCTGTCAATGCTTGACATCAATTTTATGTATACAAATCTGCCTTTGTAAATTCAAAACTGTAAAAGGAAGGCTTTAAAAAACCAATGTGATTCTCAAGGCCAAAAGTGGCTCTAATTCAAGTGTTGTGATTTTTTTTTTTTTTGGTGGCTACTGAAACAGGTAATAATAACTAATACTGAAAAGCTTTGAAAGGGTTTGAAAAAGATTTGTTTCATAAACTGAAATTTAAGTAAAGTCAAGTCAATAGATTTAAAATAATAGTGTTCTCATCTATTACAGTCAACCATGTCAATTGTGATGTAGTATTAAAAATTCCTATTCAAATGTGTGATTATTACTTTTCTTTGATTAAGTATTTAAAAGAAATCATAAAAGATCAGCATTGGTATAAGATGAATTTACTCTTCATGAAAATTACATAAGCCTCCTATCATTGGCTAATTTCATATATATTTTTCTATGAGACTGAACAATCTCTATGAGTAACTAAAAAGGATTAAACTGCAAATGTTCATATTCATATAGGAATCATTGCAAAATAAATGAAGTTTGAGAAATGGATGCAAAGTATGTGGGAGTTGAGTGCTAAGGTTATTAATTTAAGTGTATTAAGAATTATAATGCCAGTAGCAAAACAAAAAACATTATTACTAGCAATTTTTCTATGCTGAAGAAATCCTTTTGCAGGTATTCAGAGATTGTAAAGATATAAACCAGAGGATTAAAAACATTTCAATCTTCTATTCAGCCTCTCAGCTAGAACAATTTAACAAAATATCCATTAAAAATAATCTGAAAATATTGTACTATATTACCTCTTTTGCAACATTCTGGGAATCTTTCTTCAGGGATTAATTACTGGGGAATCTATCCTCAGGGAATAATGACCGATGTGGCCTGTAAAGCAGTGAAATGACTTTGCTATTTATATTCACCTTCTAAAATAAGAGCTTGGATTCTAGAAATATCAAGCAACAATAGAAACTGTCTAGATGCTAATACAAAATGGGTTATTGATTACCTTCGATTTAGCCCAATTCTACAAATTGGAGTTTACTGTGAAATCATTTTCATTTTCAACAGGGCAAAAAATTATCTCATTTTATCTTCACTTCTCTTGCCAATAATGAATAGTTGTAAATGATACATTTTTATTAAAGCACACATATAGATTTTGAGGTAGAAAGTCAACTTTATATTTTTAAATAAAATAAAAGACTTCAAAAAAAAATAAAAATTCCAAGAAATTTTGGGCTTGTGGCAGCCACATTGAGGTAGGTGTCCATATCACTGGGTACACATATTTTTTTTTTTAATTTGCTAAATTGGTAAAAAATCTTGAGAAAAAGGTATATTTTGTGTGTTTTATTAATGTGAAATCTCAGGTCTAGAGAGGATCAGTGGTTTACTAGAAATGTTACAATTTAACAGAAGTACAGCTGGTATTACTTACGTTCTCTGGCTCTGATCTTTTCATTAAATTTCGGCTCTCATCTAAAGAATGACTAATGTAAATCTCCTTTCTTATTCCCATGATATATTTTATATATAGATTCAGGATAAGATTATATAGACTAAACATTTAATGTGTTTGCTTCTGCAGGGACAGAATTAACTAATTAGTTTCAGACTAACCTGAGAGAAACAATTTTTAGTCCTTTTTTTATTAAGCTGCTTTTTTTTTTTTTTAAAGTGGGTATCAATGCCAGGAAGGAAAACTTTTCTTAGAAATTGTTTATCTTCCAACCAATATCATACAATGTTTATCTGCGTATGTATGTACGTACGTATGTAACATACAGTTACAGAACATTTCTGGTAGTTATGATTTGGAGATTTTTTTAAGTTTTGCTTGAAAACTCAAAATTTAAATGCTTGTAAACAAATACTTTTAAGAAGTTGTTAATATTTTAATTCACCATTTTTCGGTCTTTCCAATAAAATTAGTGCTTCATTGTAAAACAATTTGCTTCACTTGTAATTTATTAAGGTAAAGTAAAAAAGAGGGGGAAAAAAGAACTGAAAGTCAGATAAGTGATAATTATATAAGTGTGTCAATGAAAATAATATGTTTCTGGAGAAAGCATAAAATTATAAAGTAAACCAGTAAAAGGAGAGAAGTGCAAGGAAGTAACTGCAAAAAATAACGAAGAAATGGTGAGTCAAAAGTTAGATCTGGGTAGCAAGTCATAGATCCTTGAACCCCTCTTTTTCTCCTCCCATATATTTTTCAATCTTAGGAAATCCTTTAAGACTTCAACTTCTCATGGTTTATTATATAAGAAATTATTTATTTATACACTATTACATATTTATAATTTGATCCCTAAGTTTCTATAACAGTTTTAATTCCAAGATAATACAATCTACATAAAATTAGACTTTTAAGCAAAAGTCTGCCTCCTAGCGAGAGAATAATTCAATCCATGTTTTTTCTCCAAATTTTTAAATCTGTCTATAACTATGAAGCCCATCAAGAGTATAATATTAAAGATTAGGCATTTTGGGATAGACAACTTTTAAATAGTACAGTATATGTTCCTAAGAATTATTATTTATGTATGACACAGAAAAATAATTTTCAAACGTCCATTCAATATAATGGAAAGATGAGAATGACATGATTAGAAAGATTAGAATGACTTAGCTTGGATATAAAAATG